GAAGGGTTATCTCTTCTATGGAAAATCTTGCAAACCAAAATAAAGTCAGGCTCGGCAAATCTCAGCAGAAGCTAAGGTACATTGCTTTAATAGAAAATTGCCTTTCATTTTTCATAATGCCTTCCAGAAACCACAGATCATAATCAATGTGATCATTTGACTAGTCTGAGGGGGGGGTTTTATTTAGTACTGGCTTTGATCTTTATGAAGAACTGCGGTCCGGCCGTGTATTCTTTATATTATACTCCTTCCCATAGAAGGGAGTTCACATCCTGTCTCAGTTTTTTCCATAGCGCAAAATACATATCTTTAATTGTCTGGGGGAGAGTTTTTCTAACTTACAGGTCCAGCAAGAAGGAGTATAGATGATTTCTATGTTCTCTGCATATTAGAAAGAGGCAATTAATGTGTGTAAGGAGAACGGACATGAGCTTCTAACTTTAAGAATAAGTATATGTATAAATACAAATATATGTATGGCCTAATAGCTCATGGGGTCTTTGGTATGGTGCAGGGCAGGGTATCTGTGTTAGTCAACTGTCATTTAAACCTGATGATAAGGAAGCTAGGGACCTTTCAGATCTTTTGCTTCTTTTCTTCCTTTCTTTTTCTTTTTTTTTTAAGGACAATGGGGAGATATGAAATACTGATTAGCCAAGTTAATAGGCATAGAGTCCAAACAAAATTCAAGGAGGAGAAGGGATACTGAAAAGAAAGGTGTTGGGAGCCACTGGAGTTGATCCTTGGTCATGTGTGTGAGGATGGGACAGAGCCAGAGTGCCTCAGGCAGTCAAGTTACTTCAGTATTGAAAAAAAGTATCTGCTCGGACAATTACAGTCTTAGTCTTAGTCTTAGTCACTAGGCAAAATTATCTCTCATGATACTACTTTGCAAATGTATAAAATAAATGCTCCTACTGTTGAGGTGAGTCCTCATGCTCATCAGGCAAGAGGTAACTCCACCTGACCCCAGCTATCATCTCTTGTCTTTATTTTCTAAGTCCCCTCGCCATTTTCTCCCAGGGACGACAGAGAGACCACCAACTCTCACAAAAGGGAGTCAATTGATTTGGGGGATTCAATGATCCATGATGAAGTTATCACATTTTAAGGATGATGGAATGGTAATGGCCTAAATTGCAGGCCTTGAGATTGTTCAGAGAGAGAAAATAGATTTCAGCTTAGTGTCATCTCTGGGACACACATTCACAAAATAAATAGGTGCACGGCAGTCATCTGTGCCATTGGTATGGAAGGAAGAGTTGGCAATGTGTTCAGCAGGTATTTACCTTCTGTGACCTAGTCCAATATCTCATTTCACAAACTGAAAAGCTAGAACCAGGAGAATTTAAATGATTTGTCCAAGAGCTCACAGCTATTTAAACACAGCTCTGGGACTCCCAGATATGCTAACTCCAAATCAATATTCCTTCTTTCTCACAACTTTACTTTCCACCTGACCCACATAAATACTAATAACTCACACTGTAAGATGAGACTATCACATGATTACGGCAGATTGAGAAAGGTCTCCAAAATGTGTTCATATCCTGACCCCTGGAACCAGTAACTATGTTACATTGTGTGGCAAGTGGACTTGGCAAATGTCATTAAATAAATTTTTAACATGGGGAGAACATCCTAGATTCTCCAGACACAGCTAATGTAAACACAGGGTCCCTACACAAGAAAGTAGGAAGGTAATAGTCAAAAAGGAAGAGATGATGATGGAAGCAAAGGTTAGAATAATGTGAGGCCATGAACTAAGGAATGTGAGCAGCTTCCAGTAGCTAGAAGAAAACAAAGAAACAGGTTCCCCCCAAAGCTACAAGGAGTAACACAGGCCTGCCGATGCCTTGATTTTGGTCCAGTAAAACTGATTCTGGACTTCTGCCTATCAAAATTGTAAAAGAATAAATTTGTGTTGTTTCAAGTAAAACATTTGTTATAATAATACAGCATATATAATTTGTCATAGCAACAATAGGAAAATATTACTCTTACATTGCTTTGTGTGACAATTCAATTCAACAAGGGCATATTTGTAGAGTATTGGGCTCCATACAGATACTGTGTCTATAGTACATTATGAGGACTAACCAGGCAGTTCTCATACTTAAAAGTTCCTCTCCTTTCTCTATATATACTTGTTCTAGGCAGAGCTTGCTAGAATAGTTCATATTAGATTGGACTACTACAGTCTAACCGAAAGAAAGAATCCTGTCTTAAATAAAATAGAGATTGATTTCCTTATCATAGAAAAAGCCAGAGTTGGGCAGTCCAGTGCTGGACTTCATCAAATCAAGTATTCGAGTTGCTTTTGCCATCCTCAGCACAATGGTTCAATATGGTTGTTCAGGGTTCAGTCATCTCAACCCCATTTAAGCCATCAGAGAGGAGAGCAGAGATATAAGGATATGTCTGCTCCCTGGTAAAAACAGTATCCAGCAATGGCATACTATATTTACACTTATATGCAGCTAGCCAGAACTTAACTGCAAGAAAACTTGGAAATGTTATCTTTAACTGAACATACTGACAGTAATTCCCTTCAATATACTATTGGGGTTTCTGTTACTAAAAGTATAAAATGTCTCATGTGGTAGGCAAACAGAAGACACAGGCATATTATTACTAAGTACTATTATAAATGCTAAACACTCCCTGAAGCACCATGCTCTACACACACTCGTTTCTCTAGATAAAGATGTCTTTTTGATGAGTCCCTATGGGAGCACCATTGTTTAAAAATCTTTATCAATTTTTTCACCTGTACTCACTATAAGCCGTTAATGTCACAGGATCTCCCATTTGGGCTGCTATTTGTTTCTTCCTTTCAGGGCTATAATCCTACAACTGTGCTTGATTCATTAGCTCATGACAACTTGCATCACTACAAAGCCCATTTCCACTGTTCACTGTACTAGAAACTTCTACTATCAACAATACTTTGTAGATGACAAGAGCATGCTGAATGGTGTTTGACTTACTTCAGTTCATAGGCTCATGAAGCTTTATATCTAAAGGTTCTAGTGGTCCACCTTCAAGCACCCTTTCTGATCCTCCCCTGGGCTCTTTCTACCAGCTCACTTACCTAACAAGTCACAGTGCATCTTCCAGAAGTCTGCTTAAGGGGCTAGGGATTTAGCTCAGCAGCAAAGCGCCTGCCTGGCAAGCACAAGATCATGCGTTTGATTCCTGGTACTGGAAGAAAAACAAACAAACAAAAAAACAGAAATCTGCTTAAGTACAATGTAGTGCCACAAGAATTGCTGAAATAAAAAGACAAAAAACATTAACCTATGAAAAGAAGTGAAGCAACCAGAACCTTCACATGCTGCTGCTCAGTGAATAAACTAGTACAACACTAAGGAAAACTTTATGGAATTATCTATTAAAACTAGGTATACCATAGGAATGAGAAATTTCATGGTTGCATACTCAACCGGAATACACACACATGTTCTTTAAAACACACATGCTAGAATTTCATAGCAGCGCCATTTGTAATGGCCAAAGATTGGAAATGTCCATCAAACAGTAGGGTAGATGAATGGAGGAATGAATTAATGGATGCATATTCATAAAATGTAATAGTATGTGATAATGAAAGTGAACAATCCTTACTCTATACCCAATAATATAGATGAATCTTACAAACATGATGTTTATTGAAAGAAGCCAGACCCAAAAGAGTATATTCTGTATGATTCCTATTATACAAAGTACTGGTCATAGGCACAGCTGCTCTTTCCTGTTTGAAGTTAGAAAGGTGTTACCTTAGGGAAGTAGAGCTGGAAGGAAAAACTAGAGATGTTTCTGGGGTTTACTGTTGCTGGTTTACATGGCATGGTACACTCAATTTGTCATATTTCACCGAGCTGTGTGTCTACTACACAGATGCTTCTGGACTTCCAGTGGAGTTACATCATAATATAGTCATTGTAAGCTAAAAACATAAGTAAAAATGCATTTAACACACCTAATCTACTGAGTATCATAGCTTAGCATCATAGTACTATTATACAGTACAAGTTCCCATACACTATAGAGTACAGGTTGCTTCCCCTCATGACTCTGTGGCTAACTAGGTGCTGTGGCTTTCTGCCACTGCCCAGCATTTTGAGACAGTACCATACTTCCTCTCACTAGTCCAAGAAAAGATCGAAATTCAAAGTGTGGTTTCCACTAAAGCTTTCACACAACAGTAAAGTAAAAAAATTACAGGTTGAGCCATCACTAAGTCAGGACCATGTATACTGTATTTCAATCAACTTTTTAAAATGAACTCAGTTGTAGCATCACCTCCTAGTTCCTAACCACTTCCAGGAAAAAACTGACCTTCTTGGTGTCTGATTTTATCTGGTTTAGCCTCTGTTATGCCATTTGTAATAATGTAGTCTCAGTGTGTCTCCTCTGCTAATCTGCAGGTTCTTTGAAAACTATGGCATTTCTAACTCATCTCAGATCCCAGTATATCATAGTGGCTCTAAAATGCTTGTTGAGTGGATAAATAAATAAATTTCTCCTCTTGCAATCATTGCATGTCTGGTTTTTTCAACACTCATTCAATAAATATTTTTATATGGTAAGTATATTAGATGTTTTAAATAAAAAGATTTCTAAAACATAGTACCTGTAAGAAGTCAAATGATTAAATGTCAGTCAAAGCTTAAGACTTAAACAAAAAAAGAAAGAAAATTCAGTCCAGCCTGAGCAGTTTGGGACTTAACAAGACAGTGTTTCAAAATTTAAAAAGGAGAAAGGTGTAGCTCAGGAGCAAGACCTTGGATCTGACTCCCAGTATGGATTGGGAGGTGGATTCTGGGACTGAGGATTTACCAGAATGGTGGAGTACTTGCCTAGTGATCTCTGAGTTTGATCCCTAGTGCAAAAGTGGCAGAAACAAAGTCATTATACCTGATCTCAGCTGTACAGTGATACTCTCCTTTGTCTCCTCACTTTTTTCACATTAATGTACTGATAATGCACATTATCACATGCTATTACATTGTTTTGGTCTCATTTCCTTTCATTTTTTCTTTTCATGCTATACTTTCCATCCATCCAATACTTTTGGTCTTTAAGGGCAGGTCTGTTTCCAATCTTTCAACTTGAAGACAATGAAAAAAATAATGTTATGTGTACAACACACCAGAATAAATAGAAGAAGCTACTTGAAGCCTGAGATTAGTGAGGCAGGTGATCCCTGATGTTCCAGGTGCTATCAGAGCTTAGAGGTTGAAGGAGTTGACAAGATCTTGATAACATCCTGTGCACATCAATATTATACACAACACTGGGTGAGGATCTTGTCATTAGTTACCATTTGACCATCCACTCATTATCAGCCATATTATCCACCCAGGTTATGGTGACCCACAGACCAGCAGCCATACCACCAACCATCAGCTAGCCAGGCTGATTGTTATGGTTTGTGTCTGTGTGTCCCCCCAAAGCCTCATGCTGTCATGGGGCAGGCTTTTAGAGTTTGATTGATTATGGGTGTGAGAGCTACACCCACCCTGGGGTGGATAGTTTGCATATGTAAGAGAGAGGAAGAGGCTGCTTGCTGCCATTCCTCCCTTTTGTGCTTGCTTTTGCTGTGTTCTGCCACCATGAGCTGTAGCCCTCTGCCATGTGCCACTCTGCCTTGTAACCTGCCAAGTATGGACTAAAACCTCTACAAACTGTAAGAGAAATAAACCTTTCCTTCCTTAATTTTGGGCATCAGGTATTTTGTCCCAGCAACGAGAGAAAAGTAACCAAGACACTGATAATAAACAGTAATGGAAAAGACATATGAATATCTCTTTTGTTTGGAGACATTTTTCAAGTACCTTCTGATCATATTTTCATGAAATATACATCTCATGTTCATGAAAGGAAAGGTCATATGTTCGTGAAACACAACATCTTAACTTGAAAGTCTCCGGAATTCCCTTTTCAAATTTTGTGCTCTTGAAGGAGGGCTGTCACGACCAAAGTTGCACCTCAGAAATTGTTTGCTGACAAGTCACTGCTGACTCTGGTGGAAAAGCCTTTCAAGTACTTAAACATTTCCCCTCACTGCGTGTGGGCTGCAGTAGGTAACCATGTTGATAAAATAAACATGAACATTTTGAAGATCAAAGATTGCCTTGAAAAGGGATATGGCTGGTTCCACTGCCCATGCTGGGTCTATATTTACTAAAGAGAGCTAGAAATCCTGAAAGTGTGAAGAAACAGTCTGCTGTTTTTATAACCTTAATTTTTACTGTTAAATTACAAAAGATAGATAGTTAGGGATATCAGATCTAGCTATAGTATCATGAGTGAAAAAAACAGGAAGAGGTCCAAAGATACAGAAAAAACTTACATAAGAAGCTAGGCTGAGGGGCCCCTTCTGGAATAGAAACTTTAGAGAAAGACTCACTGGGCAGGCAAGGAACCCTGCCGTGAGAAATTAGGGGGTGGAACACAAGTAATAACCCACACACATAGATTTTTAAAGTCATCATGTGAGCAAAAATAATGCTGCAAAAAAGCTGCCAAGCAACACATGCCTACACTGTACATTGCTAATAGGAACAAGGACTTTTCATACAGGCTGCTGGGATGACTGCCTCAGCACCCCTATGACAGTGCATGGGTTAGAAAGATTAAGGGGCTGGCTAAGCTAACCACAGGACAACAGTTCTGGAAAGACAAGGACATGGAAAAATGTATGCATAGTAGAACTCCTCTCAGAATATGTACTGAATGTGGCTATACGAAGCAATTTGATAACTTCTTGTGAAATGGGAGCGAAATCCTCTGAAAAGTGTGCTTTAGTAACACCAGTCATTTGTTAAGCTTACTTTTAAAACATGTGGGACCAATTAACAGGAGGGTGTTTGATCTCCTGGGTAGATCTATTTGGACCAGAATAGAGCTGCTCAGGATGATGGAGAAGAAATAGAGCTCTCTGTGGTAGTCATTCAGCTTCTGCTCTTTTTTTAATGGAAAAGGGTGATGCAGAATTTCATAACAAGATAATAGGAGAATAACAATAGTTAATACATTGCATATTATTTTATCTTCAAAGTAGTTATTCAGAGTACAAGGTATGGGCATAAAAAATTCTCCAATCAATGTAACCGCAAGCCCTCCTTTTCTATAAACTAAGAGACACTAATTGTACAACTAACTTGCATTTTTTTTTCTTTCTTTTCCCTTCCTTCTTTTCTATTTCCCCCAATCCTGGCTCTTTTGTCCTTTTTAACAATTTCTTTCCATTTCACAATATCTATCCTACATTTTAGACCTTATTTACTCTTTCCATTTCTCACACCAGGGAGACAATATAATGTTTACACATGTGATTCTGACTTTTTTCACTAATTAGTATGGTATCAAGTTGCATCCATTTACTATTAAAAGTCTCAAGTTTATCCTTCTTTATGGCTGAGCGTTACTCCATTGTATAAAAATACTACATCTTTTTTATATATTCCTCAGTTGATGGGCAATTTGGTTGTTTCCAGGATTTAGCTATTACAGATTGTGCTGCTATAAACATTGGTGCACATACATCACGGTGGTATGACATTTTTAATACTTCTGAGACAATACTTAGAAGGGGAATACTTGGGTCAAATTGGACCTCTAGTTTTTTGAGGAATCCTAGTTTTTTGAGGAATCTCCACATCGATTTCTACAGTGGTTGTACCAGGCTGCACTCCCACCAACTATATGTTGTTTGCAAGGAGCACACCTCATCTACAAAGAAACACTTAAGCTGAAAGTGAAAAGAAGAAAAAGTAATATTCCATGAAGCTGGAGCCCAAAGGCAAGCAAGAGTAGTCATCCTAATTTCAAACCAGACAGACTTCAAACCAAAATGATAGAAGAGGAAAATAAAATTCAACACAGAAATATCACAGTTAAAACATACAAATGAATAAATGGACCTAATAGATATCTACAGTATTTTGTTCAACAACACAGAACACATATTCTTCTCACAATCCATGGAACTTTTGGAGATAAAATAGACTATATCTTATGCCACAAAACATGTTTAAATAAAAACAAAAGAATTTCAATTATCTCTTGCATTCTATCATATCACAGGGAATGAAACTAGAAATCAACAGCAAAAGAAATCATAGAAATTATGCAGACAAGTAGAAATTAAATAATGCATTCTCTAATAATCAATGAGTCACAAAAGAAATTGGGAAAGAAATTTAAAAAGTTCCTAGAATCAAATGAAAATACGAAAACCTGTGGAACACAATGAAAGAAGTTCTAAAAAGGAAGTTTATAGCTGTAAGTACTTATATTAGAAAGACAGAGGGTTACCAAGCAGCAAAAATCTAATGCTATGTCTCAAGGCCCTCGTAAAACAGGAGCAATTCAAACCCAAAACTTGTGGAAAGAAATAAATTACAAAGGTCAGAGTGGCAATCCATGAAATTGAGACTAATTAAACAATGCAAAGGATCAATGAATCAAAGAGGCATTGCTATGAGCTCTAGGTCTTCTAGACTCATGCAGGACATTATCGTGGGATCCAGGCCCTCAGCTGGATTCTTTGGTCTCTATGTGGACAGATTTCCTTCACTCTCTTGTATATGATTTTTTGGGTGACTATTATAAATAATCTTATAAAATATGTGTCCTTTATTATATTATTCCCTTTGCAAAAATTATTCCCCTTGCAAAATTATTCCTCTTGCAAACCACAACAATGCAGAAAAAAACTTTTGCAAAATGTAGCAATCAGTCAAGATAAAAAAATAAACTGATGAAAATAGATGCTGTGGAACCTTAACTCAAACTGATAAAAAGCCATTTATGACAAACCCACTGTCAACACTGGACTAAATGGGGAAAAAACTGACAGTATTCCCTCTAAAATCAGGCACAGGACAAGGGTGTCCACTCCCACCACTCCTGCCTCAGTATAGTGCTCAAAACTTTAGCCAAAACAGTCAGCCAAGATAAAGAAATAAAAAGTATATAAGTAGGAAAGGAAGAAGTCAAAATATTTTTGTTTGCAGATGACATGATCTTTTAAACAGTAGATCAGAAGACAGACAAATTCAGCAAAGTAGCAGGATATAAAGTCAACACACAAAAGTCAATGGCATTCCTGTACACCAGTGACAGACCTATTGAGAAAGAAATCAGGAAAACAATCACATGTACAGTAGCTTCAAAAAATATTCCGAACCTAGGGACCAAGCTAAGGAAGGAGGTGGAAGATCTCTATGACAAAAACTATAATGCTCTGAAGAAAGAAGTTGAAGAAGACACTAGAAAATGGAAAGCAGGGTCAATATTATCAAAATGGCCATAATACCCAAATTATACATATATTTAATCAATTCTAATCAAATACCAATAGCATTCCTCACAGAACCAGAAACCAGCCTAAATTTAAATGGACCCAGAAGTGCCAGGCATGGTGGCACATGTCTATAATCCCAGCACTCCCAGTACTCAGGAGGCTGAGGCAGAAGGATCACTGTGTGTTTGAGGCCAGCCTGGGCTACAAAGTGAACTCAAGGCCAGCCTGCACCACACAGTGAAAACCTGTCTCAGAAATAAATAAATGAATTAAATAAATGGAACCAGAAGAGACCCACAAAAGCCAAAACAATCCTGAGCAAGAACAAAATGAGAGGTATTACAATCCCAGATTTCAAGTTACACTACATAGCTACAATGATGAAACAACATGGTGATGGCACAAAAATAGAAATGTAGACCAACGGAATAGCCTAGAAGACAGAGAAACAACCCTGTGCACCTTTAGCCATCTGATTTTCGACAAAGGGATAAAAACAAACACTACAGAAAACATAGCTTTTCAACAAATGGTGCTAGGAAAACTGGTCATTCACATGCATGCAAAAAATAATTAATCTAAACCAGTTATGGTGAACTTTTTGCCAAACTGCAACCCAAAATCCACTGATTTATCCCAAAGTGCTGTAGGGATAGTTAGAGAGGAATAGACAGCACAGGGCATGACCTGGGAGGCTAGCGTAAAGGAGATAACAGCATGCTTACTCATGAAGTTATGTTCTTCAAAGGGCTGCCCTTTGTAGGACCTTTGCATGCTTTCTACTATGTGCCCATAGCTCCTGTGAACCTTGGCTCACCCCAGAAGAGAAGGCTATGACCCTGAATTGTACCAGTCAAAGAAAGAATTATTTTTTAAACTTCAGCTTACCCCTATGGATATGAACAGAACAATAAAACAGGTGAGGACCTCGCCTTGAGCTTCTCCCCGCCGTACACCTTGGTGTGGCAGCCCCGCCCCGGCCACGTCTTTTGCAAAATTATCAGTAAACCTTCTGCTTTACTTCACTTTCCTTACCTGAGTTTCTCATTCTCCTCTGGAGAGACTTTGGGTTCTAACTCAGCCTCACTCCACATCTACACTCCTGGTAGTGTGGAGAGATGAACCAAGGAAGTTGAGGATCTTTTCACAGGAGGACCCCAGCTCCCCAGACCTCGACCTGATGCAACAGTGCCAACGCTGCAATTAAATTTGAACATTGAGGTTTCAGTTTAGGAAAAACAGCTCTACAGTAACATCTTTTGTCTTAAAAGAAAATCACAATAACACATGTGCCATAGGCTCGCCACCACTGATCTAGACCCATCTCTCATCTTTTACTAAAATCAAATCAAAATAGATTAAACAGCAGGGTATAAAAACAAAAACACTGAATCTGCCAGAAGTTATAATAGGTGAGACACTTCAATACATAGGCATAGGCAAGCACTTCTTAAACAAAATTCCAGCTGTACATGAAATAACACCAAGAATCAACAAATGGCATTACATCAAATTGAAACTTCTGCATAGCAAAGAAAATAATCAACAGAATGAAGAGACACCCTAAAAAATGGGGGGGGGGGGAGCAGGGCTGCCAGTTATTCCTAAAATAGAGTATTAGTATCTATATAAAGGACTCAAAAAATAGACTCCAAAAAATAATTTTGACAATTAAAAGAGGGCAATTGAAATGAATAGACACTTCTCAAAAGAAAAAGTGCAAATGAGCCAATAAGTATACAAAAAAGTCTCAACATCTTTGGCCATCAGGGAAATACGAATGAAAGCAATGCTGGGATTCCATTGACTCCTGTAAGAATGACTATCTTTAAGGACTCAAAAACAGCAAATGCTTGCTGGCAAGCATTGGGCGGAGGATGAGAATCTTTCTTGTTGGTGGGAATGTAAACTAGTACATCCACTATGGAAATTAGTATAGAGATCCCTCAAAAAATTAAAAAGAGAAGTTTCATTGATCCAGCTACATCTCTCCTGGATATCCTTCCAAAATAATTAAAGTTATCATATTACAGTGATACATACAGCCACACTATAGTAACACAATTTCCAATAACTAAGTTATTTATCAACAGATAAATAAAGAAAATGTGATACATATTATATAGTATTCAGCTATAAAGAATAAATTTGAGTCATGCATAGGCAAATGTATGGATGTTAGTACTATAATGTTAAGTGAAATAAATCAGACATAGAAAGTTAAATATCACATGGTTTCTCTTATATGAGAAACCAAAAATATCAATAATTTAAAAAATATAACACAGATGATCAGAAACATGGAGGTAGACTTTTGAAGACGAGAAAGGGAATCTTCAGTAGTTAAGAAGGGAAAGCATATCAAATATAATCAAGAGCTGGGAGTAGTGGTGCACAACTGTGATCCCAGCACTTGGGAGGCTGAAGCAGGAGGATCATTGTGAGTTTGAGGCCACCCTGGACTAAAAAGTGAGTTCAAAACCAGCCTGAACTGCATAGTGAGACCCTGTCTCAAAAAGACAAATAATAATAATAATAATCAAGATAAATTATATAGATGATAGGTAGATGATAGATTGATAAATAGAAAGATAGATAACAAACAAGTGTAATTATTGTTTCACAAATGTACACTAATAAAATAAAATTTAAAAAACAATAAGTACCTTCATCAAAATAAGAGAAAGATTTCAAATAAACAATCTAATGATGCACCTCAAGATACTAGAAAAGCAAGAACAAACCAAATCCAGAATCAGTATAAGCAATAACAAAAGATCAGAGCAGAAATAAGCAAAATAGAACTAAAAATACAAAACAAAGGGTTGGGTTTTTTTGAAAAGATAAACAAAATGGAGAAGCTGTGAGCCAAATAATCTTTTCCTTCCTTAATTTGGAGTGTCAGGTATTTTCTCTCAGCAAGAAGAGAAAAGTAACCAAGACAATCAACTTAATAGATGCAGAAAAAAAAAATCATTCCATAAAATTCAACACTTGGGGAAGCTGAGGATCACAAGTTCAAACCCAGCCTGGGAAACACAGCAATTTAGCAAGAGCCTTTCTCAAAGAACAGTGTTTGATTTATTGTGTGGTATGAGAGAAAGTCCTTTTGTGTGTATGGTGACAAGCTTTCAGATCTATATTTTGTAACTGTACAAGCCACAGACATGATACCTCCTGGGATGGTGATTCTCTAGGAGGAGCTTTGTCTTACAGATGAGAAACTCTCTAGGGATGAGCTCTGTCTCATTCCAGGATGACAGCTAATTCTGGGACAGATCCAGCTTAGATATTAGGACCCCACATGATTACCACAGCCCACTGCAGAAAGTAGCACCTATAGCTAGTAAAACAAAGAGCTATTTTCGGAAAAATTATCATGTCCACGTACTATTCTTTGTTAAATTATTAAGTCATTTAAGCTATCCAATGATCCTGTAAAGAGTTATTGCTATCCTTTCTCCTGGGATACGTTTTCCAGATGCCCACAGGCTTTACTCCCACCTCTCCCTCAAGTCTTTACTTAAATGTCACCTTTTCGAGGAGACCAAACCTACCTGCCCTCTTTTAAACTATAACATCCTCCCCTACCACAAAAATCCCTCATCAACTCTATGCTGCTCTACATTTTCCCCATCACATTTACCACATTCTGACATAGTATATATAATTTATTTACATTTATTACTTACTGTCTTATATTAAATGCAAGCTTCCTAAAGGCAGGGGTTTATGTCTGTTTTTCCTCACTGAGCTATCCCATAGATATAGAACAGGGGAAGAGAAACTTTTCTATAGCCGACCAGACAGCAAACATTTTTGGCTTTATTAGTCTATGGTTTCCCTGGCAACTACTCAACTCTGCCCTCATAAAACAAGGGCAGCCACAGATAATACATAAGATGGATATAGCTCAGGTCAAATAAAACTTAATAAACATTGAAATCTTCACATCACAGCATATTTTTCTCTTTTTTAACCACTTATATATACGGGGAGAGAACTATTTTCAGTTCGTAGACCGTACTCACAGACAGCAATCGAGAATATAGTAAGGATTCAACTGGAGGCTATCTGGCCACAATACTCGAGTGTATTTGAAAGTGTATGTTATTTTAATATATTAAACATGGCTTATTCAACCATGCATATATTATTAATGTGTTTGTCAAGTACCTTTTCATAGTCAATACTGAAGTGAATGTAACTTTATCCATTCTCTGAATCATGGATCCTTTACATTAGTAAGAATGGCATAAGGAAGTTAAGTTTTCATAACAATAAAAATGTAGATGATAAACAATCCTGGCCCCAAATATCTTATCACATTGTGCCTCATTAGTAAAACCAAACTTTGAGTGAGTGTAAATCTTAGGTTTAATTTTATTGTAGTTTTTAAAAGTAATAGAACTAGGAACTAAACCGGCTATAGTGATGTGTGTATTCTTCTTTTTTTACTGTGATTCATACTAGGAAATGATGGAGCTGGCTGATCTCAACAGTACAGAAAAGGCTACACAGAGCGTGGGTGTGTGTGATTGGATCTAGAAAATAATCTCAGCATATTTCTCACCCGCAGGCCCTGTAGTTTAAAGTACTCTTGAAAGAAGAAGGGAGCCACGTCAGTTGCTATACTGGCTTTTTATTGTTGTTAGTAAGGTTCAGCTACCACTGAACGACTTCCCCAGCCCCCTCCTTTTTTCTTTGAGACCGTGTCTTGCTAAATTGCCTATGCTGGCCTCCAATTTGCAGTCCATCTGCTTCACCCTCTTGAGTAGTTGGGATTACAAGCATGCGCCACCGTGCTCAGCCTGGCTACTTCTTCTGTAATAAATTAACAACAGAGTTTTGATAGAAGCAACATGACCATTATTCATGAGTGTCAATTTGACTGTGTTAAGAAATGCCAAGCAGACTAGTAAAGCACATTTCTGGTGTGTCTCTGGGGTGTTTCCAGAGATGCTTGGTGTGTGGCTCAGCAAACTGCAGGGGGAAGGCCCACCCTGACTGGGGTGGCACCATCCAGTAGGCTTACAGCCCAGAAAGAAAGAAAGGAGAAGGAGGAGGAAGTTAGCCTGCCTTTGAAAAGCTCTGTACTGCCTGAGTGGTGCCAGCACCTATGGACATTAAACTCCAGCTTCACCAGCCTTTCAACTTAGACTCAAACCAGCGGCTCTCCAGGGAACTTCCAGGCCTTCCTTTTGGATTGGTGCTGCATCTTTGATCCCTCCTGTTCGGTGATTTGTGGGACTAAGCAGGTACTAGATCCTCTGGTGCAGAGATAGCCACTGTGGACTACCCTGCCTCTCACCCGGTAAGCCTATCTAATAAATCCCCTAGCATAAATAAATACACATTATAAAAATTATACATATATATAAATAATTTTTTCTATGCCTCTAGAGAGCCCTAGCCAATACACAAGGGGTGCTCCATTGTTTCTCAGCTGCATTATACCCTGAGCCTATCCCGTTACATTTTGCACGTTCCTGCAGATTTTCAGACCTCTTTGTGCAGGGACCATGTCTTTTTCACTATGTCTCCCAATTCAGAACCAGGCACTAAACAAGCGAGCAAGCAAACAAGCACACAAATAAGGAAATAAAAATGCCTTCCCTAAGACTGAGGTAGAAGTCCCACAACCCCATTCTGACTCACACGCGGGAAACAGAGCCTTGGAATATGAAAAGCACTACATAGACATTGGAATGAATGAATATATGGGCAGCTCAGAACTGGTTGGGAAGAAAAACATTCATCTGAGGGTGGAGTTTACAGGTCTCATCAACACCAGGTTTCTCTCTCCTTATCCTCCACAGGAGCCCTGGTGATTGAGCACTTATTTATTCACTTATTTCACAACGTTTATTGAAAGTGTCTGTTATGTTCCAAGAACTCTGCAAAGAACTTGTCCTATACCACCATGAAGACACAGCAGGGCTTCATTATAAGTTGCACAGCTCCTTCTTGTAAAAATCCTGTAAGGTGAACGTTACAGCAGCAGGCAAGGAGGAGGCAGGCAACTCCAACGCTCAGAGCCAGCAGAGTCTGGAGTAGGGTAAGGAGGACGTCGACACGGGGAGCAAAGGCGATGGCAGTGGAGCCACTCTGGGAGGAAGAGAGACAGAAGAAACAGCTTGGCAGGGCGTGTCAGGGCCCGAGCAGGAGGGGAATGACATCAGCACAACTTGGCATGT